CAAAGCACCACTAAGACAGTTACAGACTTATCTCTTCTTGATTTCATATACCGGAAAACACTCAAAAGCAAAACAACAACACAAAGTAAAAGAGAGAAAACCTCAATCAAAAAGAAGATTTTGAAACTAGAACAAAACTGGGCTTCTAAAATCTAAACTTTCATATTTCAATAAAAATAAGAGAAAGCCCACCAGTGAAGTGTGGAGCAGCTTCATGTCACCCACTATGTAGCTAATGGGAATCTTCAGAAGAGGCCAGCCATTGGAGCCCATGTCTCAAATTCAATTAAACCTATAAACAGCAAATTTAAGAACATCACCCCCCTCTTCAAACACATCAAACATGAAGAAACTATAGGGAGGGAGTTCGAAAATCAAATGTTCAACACTGCTGATAAACAGCAACATCTTTAGACAAGCTATACTTGAAATGACCGCATGGTTTACAAGTAACACAACTGAATCCCAAGCCTAACCTTAAGTATTTATAGGACTACTGTAATATCTAACACCCACGAGGTTAAATGCCAATGTCTGACATCCAGTAAAAAAACACCAGACATAACAAGAAGTAGGACAATGTGACCCAGGATAAGGGGAAAAGATCATCCAGTCGAAACTGACTTAGAAGTGACACCAGGACATAAAGAAAAGTTATTAGAATTTTATTCTGTAACTAAAATAAAAATAGAGGAAAGATGAAGCATGCTAAGTACAGAAAGGAAAAAAAATTAAAGATCCAAATATAAGTTTTTGAGATAAAAATGACAATGTCTCAAGAATATTTTCCCCGATGGGATTAATAGCAGATTAGAGGTTGCAGAAGAGAAAAAAAATCAGTGTAAAAAAAAATCAGAAACGATCCCAAATGAAATTACACAGAGAAGAGAAAGCATGAGGGAGAGCACCAGTGAGCAGGGGAACAACTTCAAGCAGCTCAATATATAGGTAAGTGGAATACTTTAAAGAGGTGGGGAATTTAAGGACATTTTTCAAATTTGATTAAAAACTGTAAGCCACAGACTCAAGATGGCAGCATCCTCCAAGCTCGTGAAACATGAAGACATGACAGCGCAGGAGCTTGAAAATCTCATCGTTCAACACTGCTGATAAAGAGAAGCATCGGAGGGGTCCAGAGGCAAACAAACATTATGTACAGACGGACAACGATAAAGAGGACGCACATTGCTCATCGGAATCAATCCAAGATATGGAGAGTCCTATCTTGAAAATACTGAGAGAAGGGAAAAAAATGTCCATGTGGAATTGTAGACCTAATGAAATACCTTTTAAAATCAAAGATTAAATAATGGCTTTTTTTTTCCAGATGTAAAACAAATGAGAGAATTCAGACTAGCCAGCCTGTGGTACAAGTAATGTTAAAAGAAATGTGGAATTACACAAGGAAGCGTGGAATCATACAAATGAATGCACGGTAATGAAAAATGGTAACCATGTGGTAAGTACCAAATTTTAAAAATATATGTAAATCTTTT